TTGAAAGGCTTTTGGAGGTGAAATGTCGCCAGCACGGATTGATTCCTCAGCTTCATTTTGGTTTTTGTATCGCCCTTCACCACAAGCAGGGTTGATACAATGTGATTGCTGCACGTTATCATCAAAAAGAAAACATCCTTCGCGACACACGTCATACATTTTCACAGAATCAATGCTGCCTTTATCAAGTAATCTATGAATAGCCTCTGGAGAAGGAAGTAACCCGCCCAAGTCTAAATTGCAATTAGTATGAAAGGAAGTCTGTGAGTCAATATTTAATTTACCTGAGACAGCAACAGGATCAATGTAGGAAAGAAGGTTTCCATTGACATGCTTTACGACATCACGCTGGACCTGTCTTGAAACACCGTTATGGTCAAGAAGCTTAATTAAGCCTATGCCAAACTTTTGGATTATGTTCCAGTTGTAATCGTGGTCAAAGTGCTTGTATCTGATCGCATCTTCGAACATGAAAGCATCATCGCGTGCTAGTTATTGTAGCAATACATTGTAAGTTAGAAATTCGTTACTATGATTTTAATTATTATTACCTGCAGCTTCTTCCATTACAGTATCATCGTCCGCATACTGCTCATCAAGATTTTGGACGGAAGTAAGCTCTTCTTCAGCATCATCTTGTGTATTGGTATTGATATTGTTCATTCCACTTCTTACTGCAAACAAATGGCATTTTACTCTTCGTTGATGCTCGACCATTCGAGCATGGTTTTCAAAAAGACTGTCGCAATAGCTGCATGTAAAGTTACGTGATGAAATCATGGAATTAAATCGAGGGAAGTGTTAAAGAAAGATACCGTAATCTAATCCCAACATAAAGTATTCAACGCAGTTGCATTAACCACTAGATCCATTTTGAATCCCAGACAGCTGTCATTACGTATTGCAACTAGTGCTAATTTTTGTTATATAGTGGCATGGATTATATCATGGATATGATGTAAAGCCCATGACGTACAAGAATCTGGAGAATATATTATAGCGCGTTTTTCCTGACAAAGCGGTTTTTATCAATCTACATCATAAAATAATTTGAAAATGCCCGCATATTACACAAATGACATGGTTCGTACCATCATCGAACTTCAAAAGCTAGTATTTGATTTGCAAACCGAAATCCGATCCAACCACTCCCAGGTAAACGATCGTCTTGAAGCCATGGAAGAACGGTTGATTGGAGGGAGCGTGACTGACATGACACCGACAAGAGGTAATCATAACATGGCATTGGTATACTTTGACATACAACTAACACGTTTTTATAACAGTCGAGATGACCGAGCAATCGGCTGTCAGAATTATCGCTCGTTTTCCTGGAGGTAAAAAGCCTGACACTGGTATTGTAACCGAAAAGGGTAAACCTAATAGGATTAGTGACAGAGAGGCACTCTGGGAGTTCTTGTTGTGTGTTCGACCTGATTGATATCATACACCTGAGGAAAGTCAAGAAGAAATTGAAATGAAGAACGTGGAATTGAAATCCTTGTATGGTGTATTGATAGATTATGCTAAATCATGCATCACACAATTGAAGGCAGAGGTCCAGTCAGACCCAGTTCTTAGCATAAAGACATGGGGTATGCATTCCCGTGAGCTCAAGATGAAGTATATCCTTGCTTTGCAAGCGCTGGACTAGAAGAGGTAAGATAGGTTTGGATCAATGCTTGGATCAGTGGGGAGCTGAAAGACTGCTGGCTAGTGTTGCTCACAACACATTGGGAGATAGGTACGTACATTATAAAAAAGGAAGTTCGTTTATTGTTAAGCAACTAATGTAATTTTTGTTTTGCAGAGAGTGTCGAAAAAGAAGTCAAGCTCTTTGTCCGATGATGAAGAGATCATCCCTCCTGGTCTCGGACTAGAGCAACCAGAGAGTTTCTCTATACCCAATGAAGAGCAGTCTGGTAGAGAAAATGATGATGTGTCTTTGGAAAAAGATACTCCATTAGCCAGACGTGGTCGCAAAAGAAGAATTGTCAATAATTAAAGAATCTTTTAGGCTAATTCGCACTTTTAATAATTTTATATAAATTAAAAAACTTGCGGATGACAATTTTTCTGCCTTTCTTTCCTATTTGTATTCTTTTTTTTTGTAGCCAAAATTTTTATTTTGTAAGTACTGTCCTTCATGTAGTAGTAGACAATACTAAAATATATACCGTAAATAAATGTAGCGTACAAAACACCAATATTTATTATTTCTGTATATTTTAAATTGCCTAAGATTTATGTGTACATATGCGCCATATGCTGAAGGTAATAGTCATCTGAATATCCAATACGTCTTCTCTAATAAATTGTATAATAATAGATTTTATAGATTAGTCTCTCGGCTATAACGGCGGATTGAGGTAGTAAATGTTTTTTTGATATAAAATTCTTCTCTTGGGCCGTAAAAAAAATTTTTTAGGCTGTAAAAATATTTTTTAGCCTGTAAAATTTTGGTTTTAGGCTATAAAATATTTTTAGGCTGCAATTTTTTTTTCGTTTAGGCTGATAAAACTGTTTATGTCGATATGCTGCTACATCTCTCGAGGGCTCGCGAATGTTATCTGTATACATTAGTGGATGTTTGGTTAGTGTTATATCAACTGGGCCCGTCAATAGTAAGTGGCAAAGGATATTATGAATGTAAGTGTGCCCTTTCAAACTGGAGCTGATATGTACATAAACTATTTTTAAAGTAAAATTCAAAATAAACATTGAATAAAATAAAAACGTTTTCATTTAAATCCTGCTTCTTTATTATATAATTTATTTTTTGATTGCACAAATGTATAAGGTCCATCAGCATCAATAGTATTATAATTAAAAGTGATGTACTACGTTTTGACTAAAAGGACGCTATATTGTGGTAAAAAGACGCAACAGGTGGATTTTAGTAACTAACAGAAGTGGTATAATTAAGCAACATGCGAGAAAAGACCGCAACATTAAGTGGTATAAACACGGAACATGCGGAAAAAACCCGCAACATTAGGTGGTAAAAACCCGCAACATTTGGTGGTATAATATCGGAGTTTTACCACATCCGGTGGTAAATGAACTACAATTCCGCAACATTTGGTGGTATAAAATGGACGTTTTTACCACCAAATGTTGCGGGTTTTTACCATATGTTGCGGGTTTTTACCACATAGTCCGCCACTGTGTATTCCTCGTACTGTATTCTTCCGGCATGGTGCTTGGTTTGAAAAAGATACTTGTGTATTTGATATTTTATTTAATTTCTTGCACCTACTACGTCAAATATAATTAAGTCCAACTTAGAACTGACCAAAAAATGCGCACCGTATTGTTTACCCATGCCAGGTGTAGTTCAAGCATTAGGTTTTGTTTAAAAGACATATCACAATGTTCTTGTTCTTAATGTTTCAATTAATAACACGGTATCTCAACCAAAATAATCCAGGGTTGCTTATAATTGGTGAAATTTAGAAAGGGTCCAATCACAATAATGACGAGTGTTTTTCGTGAATTGTAATTACATCAGAAAGACAGCGAGGAAGCCTTAAATGATTTAAAAACCCGGCTATATCATCGACAAATGTAATCTTTTCGTCACTTATATTTTGTAGAAAGTGTGGTATTTGACAAAATATTACATAGAAACGTAATGAGATAAACGTTTATCTTTATTAGGGGTAAAAATAGACTGAAAGAACTCTGCTGCTATGAAATAATTGATCCTTTTTATATTGCACAACTCTCCTGAGTTTTAATGATGAGTCAACCTGTCAGGAGCGGACAGGCGGACAGGACAGACAGAAGAATACTTGCTTACAAGAACAAAGAAATAAAAGATAATTATTATTTTTATTATAAGAGAGAGAGAGAGAGAAAGAAGAAAAGAGGAGAGAGGGTTGTTAGATAATATATCCGATGAAGGGGAAGAAAGAAGAGGGAAAGTTAGGCTATATTTCTAGTAAAGGATTGTATAGATATTTAGCATAAAAATAAGCAATGACAAAGTTTAGTAAGTCATTACTTATTTATGACACATATTCGATGATTGATAGCTGACACGTAGATGACAAGGTGCTGACAAAGAATTACCAAAATTAATGCATCTACGTGACACGATCATGACACAACCTTTCTGGTTTTGGAATAGATCTATACTTTGTTTCCCGCTGATATAGCGCTAGTACGGATTTAGATTTAAAAAGGGACAATTATTATTATATAACAATTGTGATAGTGAGCACCAGACTTTTAGTTGTCAACTTAGTTTTATTATTTATTAAGAGTATTTCTGTAGTGATCTTAGACGATAAAATATATGGATAAGACAATAAAATGCAAATCGATAATAATACAGTGAGAGATGAGAAGAGAATATAGTTCTTAGATGTCAAAGATAAAAGAGTTTACGACGGGTTTATGTAAGAAGATGATGTGATTGTATAATTTACAATAGACAACAGACAGCAACAAAAAGCGGAGGAAATACTACTAGTATCAATTACAAGATAAATCCCAAATTTAGGTAAAGACAAAACTAAGGAGTCTTTATTAAGAAATGAAAAAAAGGAAGCGTATTTATAGGAAAGATCCTATCCTGTGTAACAACAAGCCACATTATTATTGTGTCAGGAACGAGGGAGGAACGAGACAGGCAGGACAGGACAGAGAATGAATAGCTTCTTGAAGAGTTGGTTATTTATTTAAGAATAGGGAAAAGAAAAGAGAAGATGATTATGAAATATATCTGATAAAGAAAACTGGGAGAAGTGAAATTTATCAGCTATATTTATCACCCCACTCTTCCAGTGCAAAATAAAAAAAATCATTTTGACCTCCGAGCCCACCAAAATTTGACCCTCATATTTTTTTTTACAGCCAAAACCACTAAAACCACAAGAAAACCACAAAAAAATTGGTAAACCACAAAAAAAAAATTTAAAAAAAAAAATCTTAATTGCGAGTGACTTTTGATTTTGGTTTCGCCACTGTTTCTCTTTAATTAATTAATAAATAAAATGTCTGATATCACCAAAACCTTCACAACGTATAGTTATAACCGTATTTTGTTGGAAGCAGAAAGACGCAAGAATTTTGATCTTGAAATGTTGATCGAGTGCAATGAATACGACGAAAACTTTACTTTGGACGACGTCAAGGCAGCAGTAGGAAAGCATTATGCTCAACTCATTCCCGAGGTGGAAAATCCTCGTGCCCTGAGCAAATACAATGTCTTTTGCCATTTACAAAAGACTGCGCCTCTTGAACCTAACCATGAGGGCACCGAGGCAGTTACTTTGACGTCTCAATATCTGTCTGAAAAGTATAGAAATCAGACAGAAGCCGAACTCGAGATACTGGAGGCTCATACCCAGGAGTTGGAGAAAGGAAAGCTCATGGGAACCTACGTCAAGTCAGGATTGGCGAAATCCAAGGTGGAATCAACCCTGGTGTCCTTTATGCGTGCGATGAATACTTTTAACAAGTTTGAATTCGCATGTATTTACGGCCAGGGTGAATCTTGGTACGACGT